CAAAACCATCTGCAAGGAGACAGAGGAAATTAATCAAAGCTTCTGAAACAATGGGAGTCAGCCTAGGATTGTAACGCTTTCTAAAGGATCTGGGCAAAGGAGAAATATCACCTGGCCCAGAGAAAACGCTTGTGCCTCTGAAAGGTCTCCAAGTGCTATCTTGATGTCTGTCCACACGTAGGTGGACACAAGAACTGCACAGTTTTGAAGAATCTTAATTTCAGAAAGGAAAGTGTTAAAGCTATACAATTTAAATACAGCAATCTACCTGTTGCTTAAAAAAAAAAAAAAACAATTAAAACCAAAACAAAGCAAGACTGCTTTCTCCCGTACCTTGTTTAAAACATTGGTTTGTTTATTTCCAGTGAAATGATACTTGAATCTTTTCTGAAGAGGATTCAGCATGATCTGTATCGGAAGGATAATGGGTGGCGATGGGGGTAAAGAGTACTTTTCTGGCAATTGTTTAGGTTTGGTTAACAGTTCATCTCTAAGTTTGACAGTCAAGGACAAATTTAAGTGTTGAATTCTCCCAACATCATCATTTCAATAGAATGGGTTTATAAAAATGAACATTTCTTAGTTCTACCGCTTTGGCTGAAGGCAGTAGTACGCAATCAATACAGTTCCTCAAACAGGAAGGATACTCAAAATATTTGGGTTTTTATAATATTTAATACAAGTCAGGCTCCTAAGGATTATTTATTCAATGACAATACAAGTCACTTAAGTCTGTTTGATTTAGGAAACTCCTATCGTTAAAAAGAAGAACACAGAAAACCACCATTACCAGTACCAAACACAGGGGCTGTCCAGGAGACACACTTATTCATATTTGTTAATGGAGGATAAAAGACTCGTGAGATTAATAAATGCAATACATGATTTTCCATTTTCACTTAACTGATTTAAGTGACCCAGTCTGCCAGACCAAAACTGTTACCAACTCAAGGTTGTATAGAATTGTACCTTCTCACTCCATGATAATTAAAAAAAAGCCAGCTGCCACCACTCCAGGAAAAATTGCTTGGTTGAGCTTTAGCTGTGATTTAACTGACAAAGAAAAAGGAACAGGATGAGCAGCAGTGCCTCCTGATTAACCTCAAAGGCAGACTACTACCACTGCACAATGAAAATCCTTCTGTAGTCTCCTCTCTTTGCAGTCTCCTTCCGAGACATGAATCTTTACCTTTCCCTCTTTTTCTTCTGGGATGGGACATATTGAAGTGATTAAGGGTGATTTCAACTAAGGCTATGAAAGGAAAAGCATTAACTGTGTAAAATAAAATATACATCACCTTTTTTATTAACATAGGCAATCTCGCTGAAGCGAATAAGGCCTAATCCTCATGAAACCTCAACTGTCACCTACCATGAGATCACTAGCTCGGATGACTTGGAGTTACAGTGTTCCTACTGCCAAAAGGACAACTTTGGTACCTGACATTTAAAAAAAAAAAAAAAAAAAAAAAAAAAAGAGAGAGAAACCCAAACAAAAAAACCCCCAACATTCTAAGGTTAATACAAAGTAACATAAATTCAAATTATCTTCTGCCTTCAGGGAGAACAAATTAAATAATTCTCCTTGAGAATGTGCATCTCTGACATTTACTATTCTTACTAAAACACACCACAACTATTCAAAAGGATACGAGGTTTGCAATTTCAGAAGCTGACAAAACAACATCTCCAAATTGTTGTATACATCAGGAGCACTGGCTGGTGCCGCAAGGCCAAACGCCTGAGACTGCGGTGGCCCCACAAATGGCCAGCGGAGCTGAGTTAGCACCTCTTCAAAGTCACTGCAAGGCAAAACAAGCACTTTAACGCAAACTTACAGTACAATGCAAAGACAAGGGAGCGACAGTACATCTCTAACCTTGACAATTTGTCCTTAAGAATTTTGTGCCAGAATTTAACAGTGGATCTCACAAAAGCAAGAAGATGAGAACAAGATGACTCCTGAAGTTTAATATCCAGTTCTGCCATGAATGCTAGAGTACTGGCTGCCTCTGGAACATTGTTGGTCATCAGATATTGCTGAATGCTATCACTACAAAATACAAGAAAAGTCAAGGCCAAAAATTCATTAAAGATAACAGAAAAGAACCATTTGTATATTGAAAAATGATGATAAAGCTTTCTCAAATCTAAAACATTTTAATAATGGGACAAACTAGGTTACCAGTCTCAGAGCATATACGTTGTACTCAAACTTTACCTTAACTCTTCTATTCGTGAAATCCATTTAAGGTAGGACAGGTGTCGTTCAATCTCTTCTACTTGACTAATCAGTACATCGAGATCCTCCATCCATGGCTGAGCTTTCAGTAAGTGGCTATTGATTGAATCAGACAGAAGAGTTTCTTCCTCTAGAAGCCGACTCAGAGACTTTTTAGAATCTTCTGCATTCTTTAAGGCATTCTGAATTCTTTTAGGGACTTCTGATGAAACAGTAAGTACCTACGTTCACAGAGAGGTATTAAGTCTGACATAAGAACACTGCACTACGTAGAGCAGTACCATTTGAGATGTTAATACATTGCTTTAATTTAGTTAAATATACTTAATCAGTCATACAGCATATTGAGAAGGAGAAGGGAAAAAAAAAAAGGGGAAAGATGCTTACCTGTTCTTCTAACTGCTTCTTATTTTCAGACAGCTTATCAATAAGGTCGTCTAGCTTCCTCAGAGAATCATAGTCATTTCCAACTTCTCTTTCCACAAATTCAGAAACATAGTATGGGATATCACAATGATCTAGATCTCTAGCGACTTCTTTCTTTCTAACAGCAATGGTTGCCATATTTTCTTTCTCTGCAATACTGATGATACAATTTCTAATTAGTCACTACTAAGACAGCACAAACAACTATTAATCTATTGAGGACACAAAACTCCAGGAAAAGCTGGGCAGTTCAATTTAAATTGAAATTAAGACATTCAATAAATATACTGCTTTAAGTGAGACAATTTGCTGGCATAAGTCTTAGCTGAGGTATGATAAAACCTTGCTTACACCTCCAACTGGTGATTTATCATACATTAATTACTGAAGAGAAATATGCCTGTTAATTTCTTCCTGCCCCAAAAGCATGAATTTTATTACAAATAGTTCACTATATATGTAGTTTCTACATATGTAATGTGGAAAACTTAATGAAAAATACTGGGAAAATATTTTTGTAAAATACAAAGGTAGATAACAATGTTACGCTTTACCTTTTCGTACAGTTTAGGATGTTCCACAGATATCAACTGATGACTGACATACTACTAGCAAAGTACCCACTCAGGTCTTGCAATGATTTGTAAAGTAAAAGCATCACTGAAATATTTGTAAGAAAACCCACACAGTACAACAGAAGAGGCGCTTGTGGATCCACACATTTGGCAGCAGCCAGAGAAAACCAGACTTGAAACCGAGAGGCTGATCATGGACAGCGAAACAAAAAAAAGGCAACAATGACAAGTGTTTGGCTAGTTCAATTCTCAACTTTTTCACATCACTTTCAAAACAGTATTTAAAAATGAAATTTATACACTTGCACTTTGCCTGCTACTAGCCTTAATAAAGCGAAAAACCCTATTAAACAGACAACAGGAGTGAGAAAATGGTGCAACTGATGAGCCAAAGTTGGAGAAGCAATAGAGAGCACCAGGAAGAACAACCTGGGAGAGCAAGTGCATTGCTGAGGAAGAAGCAAATGAAGAAAAGAGGGCAGAAGAAAGCACCATGCTGTTTGCAGCAATAGAAACAAACACCACCGCAGAAGAACGCTAACCAAGTGGTGCTCTTTTCTTAGGAGAGGAAAGGACCAGGACACAGGAGGAGAGAGCAACGGGGCACGGGGGAGCATCCTCCAACTCTCCCCGCTGCAGCACGCAGCTCTGCACCCACCTTCGCCAGAGGGCCGGGCCTTGCCGAGGCGCGTCCGAAGGCTCGGCGGGCCCCGGGAGGCTCCGGGCGAGGCCCCCTGCCGCCCGCGGCCCAGGCCAGGCGACCAAGCGGCCCCTTTCCCGGCGAGCCCTTAACGCGGGGTGAGCCCTTCTTCCCCCGCTCCGGGGGCGGGGGGCGCCCAGCCAGCGGCGGCAGGCAGCGGGGCTCGGGGCGGCGGGGAGGGGGGCGCGGCCGGGG